CTACTGCAACAGAGGAAGTCGGAAGTCAATGCCTTCTCTTTTCTTTTTCCCTTCTCTCCCTCACTTCTCTTTCCCTTTTCCCTCCCCACTGTGTCCTACTATTTGCTTTTGTATTTTATTCTATAATCTAATCAAATGTTACAAATATTTAAAAAATGTATCTAGATTTGGATGGGATCTGAATTGAGAAATAAACTTATACCCTGTTTTAATAAAAGAGAAATGACACATTAGTTTGATGCTTATGCTGAAATGACACTTTTATCTATTCACAACTAAACCAGATAGTTATGGCAACCAATTTCCCCATTCCCCGCATCCTCTCACTTATTCTATGCATCTAAGAAAAAAACATTATCCACCTGGCTCTTAGGCTTCATAGAACTTCTAACATATATCTTTTAATTCATAAAAACCACATGCAATCTCTTTGTGGTAGAAAGGGCCTTAAGACAATTAGGTACAAAGACGCAGCTGCCTGGGAAGCCCCAACCGCACAATGCAAAACTGCAGTGCCCTAAAAGCCCCAGCTGTGCAGTGGAAAGCCGCACGACCCCAAGAAGTTCCAGCCACCCCAATTGTAATGCCCTGGGAAATCTCAGCTGCCCCATCCCAGTCACAATCGTCCTCACCACCCTGCACTCCAAGGTCCCTGCCACCTTCGCCATCTTCTTTCTCCCACTACTGAGGAGGTCTGCCTGCCCTGGCCCTTTGCAAGGCAGCAGCTGGCCACATGAGGTCATCTTCCCCAGGTCTCATGAAGAAACTGCATGCATGAGCTTGGGAAGAAAGCCTGGTTTGCATGCCTGGTCAGCAGTAGAAGCAAGAAGATAGCAAACGTCAGTTAGAGCAGCAGGGGCCAAGGACTGCAGAGGGCCAAAAGGAGACAGATGGGGGAGGGAAAAGGTGGCTGTGGGCAGTTGCAGCACCTCTACAGTCATAAGTGCAAGTGGGCTGGCAAGTACCTGAATTTTGATCTTGGGTCTACAGACCTTTGCAATGGCCATAACTTTGGGAACCCGTTTTAAGTCCCTTAATTCAGCACCATTGTAATTTTGGGTGGCCTCTGAACAAATGGTCATCAGTCAAGGACTACCTGTATTTAAACGTTTATATGCTTTGAAATTTCACTACTGTAAAACAGTCCAGAGGGCAGAGGAAATGTCCTTTAGTAAATGTCTCAAAGAAGCTCCTCCTTAGTTCATACAAAGACAAAGGGAGGGGAGTGGGAAGCATGTTCAGACTTGCAAGATTCTGTAACTAAAGCTTTACAATAAAAGTAGTACTGACCTGCATGGCATTGGTTTCCTTGTCTGGTTTACAGTAAAGAATGGATATGCAGCTGTTAAGCAGCTGTTCGCCAAGCTTCCCATCAGGGACTATCTAACTGTCTAAGGCTGTCCTCTCCTTCAACTTAAAGAACAGAACAATATGTAGGGAGAAATGTCAGAGAATAAACTGACTTCAAAATCAAGGTAGAAAAGTTCGGGTGGGTGCTCACTTTTTGTTTTTGCAAAATGGAACTGCAGTGTCCTAAACTCAGCCACAACTTTTTGGAGATATCAGGGGCTATTCCACACACTTTAGGGGAATGTGGGAGGGGAAGGGAGATGCAAATGAGGAAAGCAGCTTTGTACTGAACCAATGCAAGCTCCTTCCCTTTCAAACATAAACCATGGCATCACACACATGTACAAAAACAGCAGAGATTCAGTAATTTTAACCACAGTATAGTGGTGGATCTTGCAGGTACTTTTGATGGAGGGCCAGTGATGAAGGTGTGTGGCACACAGCTATAATTACTAATACAATGAAAATTACAGGCTTCGTTACCCCATTTAGCCCTTGGTCACTGTTTGAAATACAAACAAATGTATACAGTAATAGGTCAAATAGATCACCAGAAAAATCCAACAATTGAATCCCATTATAGGGATTCATCTTTTTTTACTTTTTTCCTTCTATCTTTTCTTCTCTTAGGATTTAAAAATGTTTCTACTTTGGGCCTTTGAGGCTTTTGGCTGACTATTCAAGAGAAGAAACATGTTCTTACTTTAAACTTGTTATTTTTTCAGTTTTAATCCTGTTGACAAGTTTCCCCTGAGTCAGTCTTTTGGGACAGAATGCTTAGCCTTCTGAGCATGTCTGAATAGATTTAGGCTTCTCTCCACCAACATAATTTTTGAACTTCTCCGCTTCTATATGGCACTCTGATTTTTATTAATCTTACTTTCTACTTGAAGGGCTCAGAATTCATTATTTAATTTTTGTTTTAGCATTTTCCTCATTTTCTTTTCATAGATTATTTCCAGGACATTAGATTTGTTTCTAGACTTTCAGATTGCTGTCTTCTATTTTTCATCCAAATATGGAAGAACCTGTCCCCGGAATCTCTGCTCCTTATTAAACATCTATAAAGATTTCCTTTCTTGTTGTAATATTTGGACTTAATTGCTATATAGTTGAAAATCTTAGAAACTGTCTTTAATTAACTTGGCTAATAGGAGTTCAGGTGAGGCTAGAATCACATAATTAACTGCTAACTTGGCCAAAGGGGTTTTTTTTTTTGCAATAATTTCATGTAATGAATACAGGTTTTGTCTTTCTTTTCTAGCAGATTTCACTAAAAATGAAAGTGAATTAAATTTTATATATTGTAAGTTCTGGATGTTACAGTGACCCCATCTTGTGGTCTACATCCATAATTGTACTATCCCTGTAATTATTTCTTTGCATGATTAGAATTGTTTCACATTCTAATCATGCATATTCTTCTGAATTTTATTTTTCCTAAAATGGGTGCATCTAGCGGTGTGCAGGAGAGCATTATTGTGAACCAACACCACACTGGAACTGGTGCCATAGAAAATCCCGCTAAATGTGAAGATGCCAAAGGAGTACTGCTAGTGAAGTTCATGGAGCGTGGTTCAACCATCAATTCAGAAGTCTACTGTGAAACGTTAGGAAAACTCAGATGAGCCATCCATAACAAGTGTCGAGGCATGCTGACTTCCTGTGTGGTGTTGGTTCACGATAATGCTCGCATGCACACCGCTAGACAAACCCAAGAACTTCTGAAGCAGTTCCGTTGGGATGTTTTTGATCACACACACCCCATAGCCCAGATTTGGCACCAAATAACTACTACTAAAGATTTTCAAACCTTGTAAGACGTTATGACAAGTGCCTCAATTTGAATGGTGAGTATGTCAAAGTAATGTAATGTGGTAATTTTCTAATGTGTACAATAAATGTTCTGTATCTGTGAGCTTCTGTCACTGATAACCAAATTGAAGTTTATTTCCGAACTGCCCTCATATTATCAATGTCCTTTGGAGGACTCCAGACAGAGGTGGACTGTCTGGATTTCTCAGTGGCTTTCGACTATAATATCCTTCTGGATTGGTTTTGGGAATTGGGAAAAGGACGCACTGTATTATGGTGGTTATCATTCTTACTCCATGGCAAGTTCCAGTCAGTGTTGGTAGGAGAGGAAAGGTTGATCTAATGTAGATGATATAATTACAATAAGAGTCAGTTTGGTACAGTGATTAAGACATCAGGCCACAAACTGAGATTATCAGTCACCTTAGACACAAAGCCAACTTGGATTAATCACTTGCTCTCAGCCCTAGAAAACAGGCAATGGCAAATCACTTCTGAAAAATCCTTTCCAAGAAAGCTGCAAGCAGTCCAAGCAGTCTCTGAGAACTAGACACAACTGAATGCAATATTTTACAATCAAGATTAGGAACGGGTTGAAAGTTTACAGACAACCATGAATATGTTTGAGAATGGGCAAAGAAAATTTAAAAGTTTGATTTATCAACTTCAGTGCATTGCTCATGTGGAAGATCGCTTTCTGTCCTAAGAAGGTCAACACAATTCCAATCCTGATATCTTTAGACATTATGGCCTTTGGGGTTTGGCAGATTTAGAATGATTTTACTGATTCTATTATTTTTATGTTTGTTATTGTTCAGATGTATTTATTTACTTGGTTATCTTCCTGTATGAAACAGGTTTAGTATCTTCCTCTGTAAATTTTTTAGCAGAATATATATTTCTCTTATTAGGGCCAAGAAACCAAACATCAGAAATATTTGCCCTTTCAGAGAGAAAAGAACATGAATACATTTCATTACTGTCACGCTGTGTTGAGAAAACAGAAGTTATCCAGAAGGGTCTATTTTTTTAACCTGCATGCAGCATTTAAAATGACAATTACAAGGCCAATATGCATTAATTGGCTTCCATTTAAAGAAGACTGCAAGGTTCCTCTCTGAAGATAATAAATACACCAACATTTCCATCACCAGCATTTTGAGAATTAGTAAGAAAGATAGAGGACTTTAAGAATAACCTATCACTTCAGGGCCTGAGTTCTAAATAATTAATTTGCACAAAATATACTACATTAAAATACAATTAAACCAACCAAAGGCAGCGTATGCAGACCTGAAAACAAGTTTTCACACTTGACTAGACTATCAAATGCATTTCCTGACATGTATACTGAATTTCATTTTCTTCTCTTTTGTTTCTCATTATTTTCTTTGGCACTCTTGCTGATCAAAGAGGTTTGCTGAAAATGGTGTTGTCTTATTTTTCCTGCTGGGACTTTGCAGGTATTCTTTATACTATAATCTAATTCCATAAACAAAGGATTAGCTCCTCAATGCTGGATTAGGCAAATAGGAAGCAGCAAGGAAGGAGAATACCATTATCCAATCGCACAGTAAAAAACCTAAAAAAACCCCATAGAACTGAACAGTCCTTGTTTAAAATTTTACTTTTTAAACTGGATTCACCAGAAATGTCCTTCTTTACTGTGATTCAGAAGGATGAATGTTTATAGAATAACAATCAAACCTCTTTCACAAGATTTTCATTCTTAATTTTGACCTCACCCTTAATACAATACTCTACAAAACCTTTTATTTTATTTATTTTTTATATGTTTTCTGATTCAGACATTCAGATATTTAAAGGAAACTCACTTGCAAGAAACTTTCGTTCGGTCAGCCACCATGGTCCACTGCTGCTGATTTGTAGAAACTTCAATGTAATAGCTGTAACTCCTGTCATCACAATCCCAGAGGAGTAACCTGAAGGGCAGGTAAAGAATTCAAAGGTCACCTCTATATGGAATTTTGTATTAATAATTGAGTTTTTAATATTTGCCATAAATAACATGTATTACTTAGCTTTAAATGTTCAAGAGCAAAAAATTTAAATATACAAGTAAGCCTTTCAAATACTAGGGATATGTTTTCGATAATTTGGCTTTCTAAAGTTATCCTGCTTCAGATTTCCTAGCACATAGTAATTCTGAAAAAAAAAAATTAAGCTACTGTGCATCGAATTTATCTTTTATCTATTTGTGGGGATTAGTAAGAGATACTTTAAATTGAAGCCACCTTGTTTCTTGGAAGCATTTTTATGAAGATGGCCCTGAGATCTTCTCAGAATTCCAAATACTGTTATGTTCCCAGTCCCCAAAGGTAAGTAATTTGATACTTTTCTTCTAGGAAAAAAAGAGTGGCTAACATATCCATTGTGATGCACAAGTTTTGTGACTACTGGGACATATAGATCTTGGAAATAATAAATAGCAACTTTAAAGCTATCAAAATTATTAACCGTAACAGCTTTCATAGTTTAGTTTATTAGATATGCTAGAACATCCTTCCATAATCTCTTCGAATTTCCTATTTTTTAAGTTTAGAGAACAATGATTGCTTGAATAAATGGACAACTGACGTTTAATAAGTAAATATTAATTAAAACCTATGAAAAAAGATATTATTTGCACTGGCAGTTATAACAATCTTCTTAGACTATTTATATTTTATATAAATCACCTCCTCCCTGTTAGAGTCTCCTTGTTTGTTTACAACTGCTGGAAAAAGTATTGCTTCTACAAAATTATTTCATTCTTCACTAACAGCTATCTTAAATGCCTTGTTTTAATGCTGAAGGATTGTTGTAAAAGTTGGTGCTCTCTTTGTTTTAGGAAAGAAACTTATTCGTTTGAAAGAAAATAACCACTGATTTAGAACTGGGCTTATTATAAAAATATTAAATATGATATAGGAATAAGAAAAGGCTTCATTCTTCAGATCTGTACATCTTTTAATATTGATTAGGCTGATATACTGGGCAAACAAGATTTCTAAAACTTACTGTAGAGCCCTCTATAGAAACCTAGGGTGTTGTTAATAAATAATTTCAAGACCAAAATAAAAGAACTCTGAAAAAAAGAGACTTTCAATTCTCATTAAGTGATGAGTTTCTGCAAATTAAAATTTCAGAGCTGATTCCATTAAAACTCCCCAAAGCAGCATTCCACATTTGGTTAGGAGAAACATCCAGCTATGTAAAATTCTGCTTTCTCTCTCACTGGCTTTTTGTTTAGCACAGATGTCTTTTGGTTGCTCTAAGCAAAGCTGTAGCTAACTTGCTTATTAAAAAATCTGTCAACTTAAGGACAGAATCTCGAATGTGTGTTGAGCTTATAAACATAGCTGCAAATCAATGCAGAGGTTTTAATTATGGGATAAATCTTTTGAAGAATTTCAAGTACTGAAACAAAAACATGTAAAAAAAGGAAATAATCTAATTAGATTTTCCAGTGAAATCATTTTTTATAACTGGGGACACTGCAGTTTCCTTGATTCAAATTGTCAGAGTAACAGGAATTAATATAAAAAATCAATTATTTTGAATTGTACATCAGTAGGTAATACAATTTTGGCTGCTTAATAGCTTAACTAAAAACCAACTTAGCAGGGGAGGGTCTCAGAACAAAAAGATTATGGATATATGGTACATTTATGTAAAGAGCAGAATGGTTGATCATTACAGAATATTTATCCAGTGTTAACAAATGATAATGTATGCCAAGCTTAAGGCTATTTTAGTTTCTTGGAAGTATGCCCAATTGTGTAAAACTATAAATATTCAGTCAGGTAAAAATGCAATTTATTCCCAAAATGTCATGATAAGTATAAAGTGTCTTGTAACAGGTTAAAAATTACTGATTTATTATAGCCTAAATTTTTGTGAAGAAGGAGAATAAATGTTTTCCTCAGTTGGCAGGTGTGTATATGCATGGGTTAAGCTTAGAGAGCAATAAAAGACTCCACACATGGTTAAAAATGAATAATTTCTAAAACATAAATGGATAAAATGAATAAAATAGAATGCAAAATCTAACAATTCAATTAAATGTTAAATACAGGCTAAATAAATACATTAACTTTTCACAAGAGCAAAAATTAAACGAACACCTGCCTCTTTCAAAGGAATGTTGTGGTATATTAAACTATTTTTCTACAAATTTCTGAATGATATTATTCCTTCACTGATCAATATACATAATACTATCTATTTATTATGTTGAGCATCAGCCATTTTTGGTGGAAAGATGGAACATAGAGCTAATAAATGAATAAGGTACAACAGCTTTTGCCATTACATTTTAGACCTTCATACTCTCTGTGTATAGCTCTTATTTTTTCTTTCTTGCAAAATAAACTAACATGGCTACTCCTCTGACTCTTTGCATTTTAAAGTGTTATTTCATGAAGAAGTAAAAGCACTACATAATTCCACCATCTTTGATATCTCACAACAATTTAACATGCATTATTTGCCCTTTCAATCTATCACTATATAACTGTTTATTCTCCAATATACGTTGTTCTACCCAGTGGCTAAATTTCTGAAAACTTAAAAGGCTACCAATCTACAGTAATAAAGAACTTGAAAAAGCTAAGTTATAATGTGATGGATAGGCTAAGGTCAAAAGAAAATAAAAAGGGGGCAGGGGGATGTATTTCCACAGCATATTAGGAAATCCTCCTATAGAACAATGAATTGGTTTTTGTTAATCAGCTTGCTGGGGACACAGCATACTCAGCCAGCTAACTGTCATCAATACCTAGAATGTTAAACATTTGCATTCGTAGCAGCGGCCTTGTTCACATCTCATTAATTAAAATAAATAACAATGACTCTAATAAAAATGTGATTAACATCCACTCACATTTTAGAAAGCCTCTCTGAGCCTATTCCTTTAAGGCAAATCATGTATACCTGTTAAAAAAAGTGAAGCACAAGAGCTGTACCTTAAAAATGAGGGCAGTCATAAAATTAATCTTCCTTGGTTAATAATCCTAGTTCTATACTATGGTTTATTGAGCATAATATTTCTATCCCATCCTAAAGTATATATGTGATTGACTGAGAGTGTATTTGTGCATGACTGTTTGTATTCTTGATATTTTCCATCAAATTTGGCAATTCCATCCCTTTCTAATAATCTGCTAGACTCAATTTACCTTCAGATTGCATTTAAAAGTGTTACACATGTCAGAGGTTCCTGCTTTTAATAGTTTGCCTTTGGACCACTAATCCAGCAGGTTTGTCTATTTCTGGAACAAGAATTTTTATTTCTGTTCAATGTTGTCTAATTATTCTGAAGCGGCAAGTTGAGATGCACAGAAAATACCCTAGAATAATGTTTCTTGAACACCTGAGCATATAAATCTTTGCAACAACAACAAAGTTGGAAGGGACCTTGGAGGTCATCTAGTCCAACCCCCTGCTCAGGCAGGAAACCCTATACCATTTCAGACAAATGGCTGTTCAGTCTCTTCTTAAAAACTTCCAGTGTTGGAGCATTCACAGCTTCTGGAGGCAGATTGTTCCACTGATTAATTGTTCTAACTATCAGAAAATGTTTCCTTAGTTCTAAGTTGCTTCTCTCTTTGGTTAGTTTCCATCCATTGCTTCTTGTCCTGCCTTCAGGGGCTTTGGAGAATAGCTTGACTCCCTCTTCTTTGTGGCAGCCCCTGAGATATTGGAACACTGCTATCATGTCCCTCCTCGTCTTTCTCTTCATTAAACTAGACATACCCAATTCCAGCAACCGTTCCTTATATGTTTTAGCCTCCAGTCCCCTGATCATCTTTGTTGCTCTTCTCTGTACTCTTTCTAGAGTCTCAACATCTTTTTTACATCGTGGTGACCAAAACTGGATGCAATATTCCAAGTGTGGCCTTACCAAGGCATTGTAAAGTGGTATTAACACTTCACGTGATCTTGATTCTATCCCTCTGTTAATGCAGCCTAGCACTGTGTTGGCTTTTTTGGCAGCCGCAGCACACTGCTGGTTCATATTTAAGTGCTTGTCCACTAGGACTCCAGGATCCCTCTCACAGTTGCTACTATTGAGCAAGGTAGCATAAATTATATACTTTGATAAATTATATACTTTGTAAACTGCCTTTCCTTTCCTTTATGAATAATGATAAAAATCTCTAGGGTTCTCTATATCAAAGATGAAAATGCAACATTTTAATCTCCTACTGAAATCCTTTCTGAAATTTTATGTGCTAATTGTGCTTTAGTAAAGTGTGTCAGATTTCACACCAGGCCAGGCAATAAATCTTGACTCTCCAGATGTTTTATTTTCCATTCAGGTCATTGCTTATTAGCAGTAGTTCACAAACATGACAATGCTAGGTAAGTTGTTTTATCGCAGAACAACTTTATGTGCAGAAATCAAGCTTTATATATGTTTCCTCCAGAGTTTGAATTCAATTCAATTCTTTTCTTTTTGCTTTTACCAGTGGGTGAAATTAGGCCTTGAGATTAAGAGATGAGCTTTTTAGTATTGTAGAAAAATTCTGTTTAGCTGGAAAAAGATCACTAGTCCGTGCTTTATTAACTTCATACTTTATGTCACTAGAGGTTGTCTTCTCCCATTTCTCTCCATCAGATGCTTCTTTCCCTTCCTCTATCTGATCATGGATGGCTGGAGGGCATAGTGCCCTTTGTTTCTTCTTTTTTGGCTTAAGTTAATGAACTCTCTGTATGTTCTGGGCATTCTGCCTCTCTCTCTGTCTGAAGTGGAAAAGTCAGCAGAAATTGAGGGTATCTCTTCTGTCCTATTTCTCTGCCATGATTTTCCCTTCCATTCTAGGAGTCTCCATCTAACTGTCACTGCTTCTCTCTTGGTAGTTATTCAAATGTCTCCTCCTTCAATGCCCTCCTACTCCACAATGACAGAAATGTTAACAGGTGATGAATTCTGAGTATTCAGTCTGCCAGGTGATTTAGGCTTCTGACGGTCCTGAAAATGGAACTGCCAAAGTAGGTAAGAGGAATGTACATCATCTGCTATTTCCCATGAACAGCTTGTATCTGGGTACCCTTTCTGATGAATAGGATATTCCAATTTGCCTTTCCTGTACTGACAATCCAAAATATATTTCACTTCAAATTGTTTCTCTCCTTCAAGTTGGGAGGAAATGGTGGAGCAGAATTGCATAAGGAGATGTATCAGGAAGGAGCAGTAGAAAATGGAATTTACTTTCAGTGTGGCTGGAAGCTATAGATAAAAGGCTACAGTACTGATTTGAGTAGTTATGGAGAATGGTTCAATAAAGTTGGCTTCCAGATCTGTAGGGAGTTGTTTGAAGGGAATAAATCTGATAGAAACCCATATGCGGTCTCCAACAGCAGGAGGCATGGGGAGTTTCCTAGTAATAATGGTCAGCACAGCAAATATAGAAGTCTTTGACATGATCCAGCTGTTTCAGAAAATGCTAACAATTCTTGGAGAAAATGGGAGGCTTCTAAACTGTGGACAACTGGGAAGCATTTGGCAACTGGTTTAGATGGTTCCTGTAGGTCATCTGAAAGTCTGACATCTGAATAACAGTATGACTATATTATCAAAAGCAATTTAAGTTTAATGAAAAGATCCAGCCAACTGTCTCATCAGTTTACACAACAAAGATATTATTCTAAAGTAGTATTTGTTCCTTCATGTAACTGCATACAAGGGGCAGAGAACAGAATGAATTGTTACATCTTAAAGGTGAAATATAGTTTGGAAAAATGAGTTGTAAATTGTATGCTCCTATTAGATACATGATCGGATAAATGGTGGTTTTCAAAAATGCTCTTTAATAGATAAATTATTTTAGAATGGAGTCTAAAACGAGAGAAGCCTTTTTGGAAAAGAGGTGAATTACCACCAGAATGGCATTCAAGACTTTAATATGTGGTAGATCAGTGATAAAGTCCAAGGAAAATGTATGTCAAGATTGGAGTGGAGAGGATGCAATAGTTAAGCTGGGATAAAACAAAAAATAAGCTTTTGATAAGTTTTCCCATAATAAGTTATGGAAAAGAAGAGGATTTGTTTTAAATGCCCGGAAACATCTAGCTATCAGTGAAGAACTATAATACTACCTCCCTCAAGGAAGGAAGAACCTTGTTATGGTGTGGTTTTCCCTAATCACAAAGTGGTGGGAGAAATTAAGACGATGATTCTAGAAAGTCACCTCTGTGAGCCAACATATATGGGTTGTGCTGAATATGGATTTAGTTAGATGGGGAAGAATCTTTTTTTTTTTAGCTCCAAAATCTATGTGTTTAGAGCAGGGGAAGGAGTTTAGGCATTAATGGAGATCAGAGGAGGGCTATAAAATAAGTAATATTCTGCCTACTTGCTCTCTGGACTAGAAATGTACATCAAATTAAGAAAAGGACTATGCCCAACTGATTTGGTGCTGTAAATGATCCACCTTTCTGTTGCAGATGATCCAAATTCCTGAAATCAGTTCAGACCTTGATGGTATATCCCACTCCTTGGAGAATATTTCAGTTTATAGATTTGCTGGTGCAATCAAGAATCCATTGTTTTCTCAGTGATTATGAATCATCAAGGAGTTGAGGCTGTAAAGCAGTCCCAATCCACAATATTTCCACTATCATGCTTTACAACTGGGTTAAGGGTGTTTTGTTGGAGTGCAGTATTTTTTTTCCAGCAAACATGATATTATCATTAATGCAGAAATGTCATTACTGACACTTGAAAACGTCTATCTTGTACTGTAAGAAAAGCAGATCTGGCACCATTTCCAGGAGCTGAGAGACATAGCAAGTCTGGGATCAATGGCCACAATTACAAAAAAAAGTATGGCAAATCATCTGAATGATGTCATCTTTATGAACAGCATTTGGGTGACAGGCCACATCACTATTGTTTTTGAGTACACTATTGGCCAATTAACATTAAAAAAATCTTTCCTATATATTCCACAATATGGACTACAAATTCACAACATATAGCTATAGACATATATTTTCAGTGCCAAGCATTTGAAACATAAACATTATTTTGTCCTTCATTTATGTCAGTGCCTTTCATATCTTCACCATTCTAATATCAAACTACAGTATAAGAAACCAAAAGTAAAGAAAGCATAATTCCTTGCATTTTATTTTATTGTAAGGAAATGATTTTTTTTTCTTTATGCCTCTCTATCGCAGGTATACTATGGTGAAACTCTTTTGTTTTTTAAAAGATTATAATAACTTACACGTATAGAGAAATCCTAACTTCTTTTTTAGAGTTGAATATTTTGCAATAGTCACACATCTTTAAGAAACTTTCCATTTTCCTTCTCTAACAACTCTCAGCAACGCGTATATTTGTCTTTGACCTTATACCACAAATAGTGTTATTCTCCTCCAACCTGCCCCTCCCCACCAAAACTAAAAAAAACAAAAAAAACAATTAGAAGGGAGGTAGCAGTTGGTCAGAAATTGTATACTGAGTTTCATGGATACCCAAGAACTTTATTCTACTCTTTTTCTCATTTAACACATTAACATTTTATTTTATTCCCAGTGACTCATAGATAAATTTGAGGAGATAAATAAATAAATATTTCATCAGCTCAAGGCTATGCAGTTGTAAAAATCACACAGCAATATAAAACAAAACAAACTGGAAGCATTCTGATTCTGATGCTATTCTCAGCACAAAATAAATTGCCTGCCCTCAAGTTATGTCATTATTTTCATATCAAATGTGTGTATGTGCATATACAGACTGGTTTGCTTTCCAACTTAGGTTTTGTATGTTAAGAACACTATCAGTGCATGAAAATATGAACTTTTCACAGTAGCTATCAGGAGGTATGTATTCTCATTACTGAAACTATTTTTACATGAAAAAAGAAATCTTCTTACTGAATTGATCCAATCATGTATGGCTGCGCCAGCTGTACAACAATAGCACCACTGCCTAGCTGATGGCACGTATACCCAGAATCCCAGTCATAATTCTTTGTGTCTCCATTCAACAAAGCATTGCGGCTACGGCTCACGCCCTCAATCACGCTGGCGCAATCTGCAACTGTTGCAACATTCTCAGTTGGAACTGAAAATTAAAATACAAAAGAAATCAAAGGCAGGCACAGGCAACTCAGTTCCATCAGTTTCTCTATCTGGGGAAGAATAAAAATAAACAAAAATGTTACTAACACAGGAAAACACGGATACATTTCAGAGGCAAGATTAAAAATGAATGAGCAATGAGTGAACTGTATCAGTGAAGGCCAGAAATCTTTTAACTTCAAACTAGTTATACAAGAGAACATTCAGCAAACAAATATTTAGATGTATTGTAACAATTACTGTGGTTAACAAACTTGTTCCAAAATCCATAATCAAAAGTTGTTTCAAACAAGTGGATGAGGCTGAACAGACAGTGAAGGAGAGAAATAAAGAGACCAATAACCATCACAGCAGACAGGTAATAGACACTGCCACTGTGGTTGTTAAGCAGTCCCCCTCCTTCTATTACTTTCCAAGCATTTGAAGTAACATGAAATTTCTACTGAATCAAAGCATGCATTGTAGAGATAAAGCTGTATAAATTCTATTTGTGCAGCTTTTAGAAACAAAATTCAAGATCAGAAGTTGCAGCATAATTAATAATCTATTAACTCATCTTATTTTTTTTCATTTTCAATTGATGTTATATACCTGAATATTTTTTTTCAAATTTTTATTCTCCCCCTCTTTTTTGCATATATAAGACAAGGTGAGGAACGTACCAATACTTCCTCCTTTTTTCCTGACAACAGCAAACCTGTGAGCTGAATTGGCTGAGAGTGACTGGCTAGAGCAGTGGTTCTCAACCTTTTTAATGCCGCGACCCCCAACCGGTTGTAAGTCGAGGACTAAACCGGTTGTAAGTCGAGGACTAAACCGGTCGTAAGTCGAGGACTACCCAACCGGTCATAAGTCGAGGACTTTCCCTGCCTGGGAGTGCCGCGCATGCATGGTTCCGCCCCCTGCGCCGGCCGAGGCATAGCTGGCAAGCGGCAGAGACGGAGCAGGCCGACCACCAGCTGGCCCAGCTCAAGGGAGGTAAGGCACCCGCCGGAAAAGGGAAAAAAAATGGCGGACAGCCTTGCTTGGCGACCCCCGTGAAATGGACGATCGATCCCAAATGGGGTCGCAACCCATAGGTTGAGAACCGCTGGGCTAGAGAATGCCTAAGATGGCCTAGCACCAGTCTCCTGGCCTCTAGGCTGGCACCTTAACCACCACTCCAAACAGGCTTTCACATTAAGAGGATTTCACTCATAAATGAATTTAATTAATCAAACTTGATGAGGGGTGTTTTGATTCTAAGGTGTTCCTAAAACTTGTTTTCCTTGTTTAATTAGCCTCTCATCTATATGAAAACAAACTATATTTATTAAAAATGTTCTTTTGGACTATTTATGAGTAATATTGTCCATATTAATACATGCCAAGGAAAAGCTTGTTGCACTATTTTACACAACAGGATAGTAGAGATTAATCAAACAATTTCAGCACACAGAAGGTATCACGCTGTTTCAGTTCCCAAGGGAGGACTGCCACTCCCCATTTTGAATGTTCATTATTGTCTTTCATATCCATCTAATAAATGTATTAAAAACACCATCTGGAAGGGATGTCATTTCATGAAGCATTTCAGGTTTTTTTGGTTCCCTTGGCTTTTCCCTATGGTATTTCTGTCTCAATCTGTGTAACTTTGTTTATAAAAAGGCACTACCAGAAACAATACTGTCTTGCCTCTGAATTTTTTTTTTGTCCTTCAACTAAATATTACATGTAACACATGCTATAAGATGAAAAACAAAATATGAATTATATCTCTTATTTTTGTAGAACATAATATTTCTTCACAAACTGAATGTACCATTAGAATGAAAAACACTCCATATTAATCCAAATACACCGTAGAAGCAAACAAAATGCTTGTTTTAATGTTTTTTAAATTGTTTTATAATTTTAGAATTGTAAGCTGTCCAGGATCACTTGGTTGAGTTGAATAAATAATAAAAAAATCAAAAGAATAAAAATAGATAAAGCTGAATTAGCTAAACTTCATGTTATTCTTTCTGGATCTTATCAGGCAACAGGTGGCCAACAGACTGAATATATTGTGACACAGTAACATTTAAAATTAATGTCATTTTGAAGACATGACCTTAAAATTGTGTGTGTGTGTGTGTGAAATTTGGATTGCTGTTGCTATATATTTGGATTGCTATATATATACGTACACACATACACATGCACATAAATATATATCTTCAGTAATACCTAATGACAAATGAGCAAAAGGAAAAAAAATCAGACATACCGGTATATCTTTAGTTTTTTTCTAATTTGACAATAGTTTTTTAAAAAGTCAGAATATTTACTGAAATATCTTTTGCATTAATTGGATTTTGTTTGACTAAAATTTCTTATATTTATTTCAAAATAAATTAAGAAAATATTAATGTAAAACACACATTTTAGACAATGGCTAAACTATAAATTCCACGAGCTATCAAATGCTATGTTTTGTTCTGTCCACATTCTGATCCTTCTTCTATGCTTTACATGTGAACAGAAAAGCACAGGATTTCCCCCACAATGTCTGACAATTTTATGATGATAGTCTAAGCTGCTATCCTCAATATTTTAGGTTTATTCCTGCTTATGACAAAACAATTGGCATTATTTTGTTACATAATTAAAGATGGAAAATAATTACTGTGTTAAACTTTAGCACATTCTTTTATAGGAATTGGCAGAAATCGGAAATTCAAGAAATATTGATAACTGCTAAGTCAGAGATAATTCAATACTACTGGTTGTAATTGGATAGAACAATAAATGGAAAAAAGCAGAGATAATCATTCTTAAGAACTGACAGAGGAAGACCAATAATCACCCGGAGATAATGAAATCATTACAATGGAGAAGACATCATTATTAAATTGATACAGCATTCTAACATGAGCTAACATGGGATTGACTATCTAATACAAGATAATGGAAAAGAAAGCTGATATGGCACAGCAATTAAGACTACTGTTGATGTTTCCCTCTTCTGAGCTCAAGTTAGTTGTTAAGTAGAAGTGGAGGATTCTAGAATCATAGGAAAAATGATTTGGTAAATGCAACAATATAGGAGATAGGTTACCTGAATTTTACTAAGATGGTTTTACTGCCAATAATACATACTTCATACAACATCAATGCAGATTCTACACATGAAACCAATATGATTGGAATCAAATAGATTGCATAATACAAAATAAAAGGAGCAGTGCAATCCAGTTATTACTTTCAGGTGCATGAAGAGATCATAGGCTCTTAAGGTCAAATACATGGATTGAAGTTTAAAGAGAGTAGGTGTAGTAGTAAAGTACAGATAGTCCTTGGGTTATAACAGTTCATTGAATAACCATTCAAAATTACAACGGCACTGAAAAAAGTGACTTCTGAACGTTTTCCGCAGTTATGACCTTTGCAGCATCCCCATGGTCACATGATCAAAATTCAGATGTTTTGCAACTAGTTCATATTTATAACTGTTGCTGTCATGTAATCACTTTTTACGATCTTCTGACAAGCAAAGTCAATGGGGAAGCCATATTCACTTAACAATTGTTACTAACTGAACAACTCCAGTGATTCATTTAACAACTTTGACAAGAAATGTAGCAAAATGGGGCAAAACTCATTTAACAAATGTTTCACTTAACAACAGAAATGTTGGGCTCAACTGTAGTCATAAGTCGAGGACTACCTGTATGTCCTGGAAAACATGAAAGGGAACCATGAAAATATATGGAAATATATAAGGAAACCATGGAAATATATAAGGAGCATCATAGGAAAATAAAACCCTAATCCTAATTCAGAGATGAAAAAAATTGAGTGGCTTTTAAAACAGTTTACTATGATAGCATATGCACGCATGCACATGCACATACCCACAGAGAAGATGACTATGCTGAGCAACAAAAAGGGCATTTTGCCACTGAATCAAGACTTCCAGTTTCAAAAAAGAAGGATATGGAAAGCCAAGCAAGGATGTCAACAAATAAAGGAAAATAGCAATAAAATAAAATATTTTTAAAAAAAGATCAGAGGAATCATGGGACAACTCATAGCTAAGGCAGGGATACTCAAGAATAATTATGGAAGAAAACAGTGGCAAATGAAGAAGCTAAAGACAGAAGGAAAGACTACATGTAATCCCTTTACAAAAAGGATTATACATTTATAGAAACATTGAAAAGTAAAAGTACAAAAGGTAATAAATTAGCAAATAAATCAAATGTGAAAGTATCAGATGAAACATTCACCAAACTATTAAAAATTGTAGAAGATGCTATTCAAATATTAACAGCTCTTTGACAACAAACATGGAAGAAGACTGTATAATCCAGAATTTGGAAAAGATTAGTGTACACCTACAGTATATGGATGCAACAGAATGTGCCAGTAACAAACTCACTGCACTAATCTCTGTTGTAAGAAAAAAAAATGCAACCATGGACTGGAAAGACCTTTAAAAGGAGAAAAGAGAATTGGATGGCAACAGCTTCACACAGAGAAGACATTAAATCGGTCAAAGAATGCCTCACTAAGTGAAAGATAGACCAATATTTTACAACACCAATGTACGCTACTAAGAAATTGATTTGACTTTTTCATTCTGTTGGACATTTAAATGATTTCTATAATAACCACTGCTGAGCAAGAGAGAAATGAGCATTTACTGTATTCATTTTCTCCTTTTCCCAACATTTTAAACCATTTCTCCTAGACACAAAAAGATACACAAATGAAGCCTTAGTGATTCATAAATGCTACAAAAGTTTCCATAGAGGATGTCCAAGGACATTCCATTTGTTATATCCACTGTTTGGCTGCAACCATTATTCACTCTTCCATCTCTCAAGAGTACTAAGGAATAGTATAAAGAAGGGGGCATAATTTGGAGATAGGAAAAGAGATTTTCAGTTGTGCATATAACCATATAAACAACACTTTGCCTTCCAAAAATATCTAATAAACGATAAAGGATATTTTTAACAGTGCAGTTGGATAGGATCAAACATTTTAAATTATAAAAGTGATTCAATTGTTTCAAAGTCAACAACAGGTTTCTATTTTTTTTCCTAAAGCAAAGTACAGAGTACAGAGTTTAAATAAAATAAAGTACAGAGTTTAAATAAAATAAAATGAAGTTATTTGCCAATTTGTGGAAAAGTTTCTAACCACTATCTGTAGGCCATACATGTTTTATTGTGTTATGACTACAGGAAACAACTATACCAGAGTTTGCCAGAGATTTCCAGAATTTTGTAGAAAACATACTAACAATTGATCCCTGTGAATAGTCCTCAGTATTGTTGGAATTGGGTATGTCTAATTTAACGAAGAGGGGGGACATGATAGCAGTGTTCCAATATCTCAGGGGCTGCCACAAAGAAGAGGGAGTCAAGCTATTTTCCAAAGCGCCTAAAGGCAGGACAAGAAGCAATGGGTGGAAACTAACCAAAGAGAGAAGCAACCTAGAACTAAGGAGAAACTTCCTGACAGTTAGAACAATTAACCAGTGGAACAACCTGCCTCCAGAAGCGGCGAGTACTCCAACACTGGAAATTTTTAAGAAGAAACTGGACACCCATTTGTCCGAAACGGTATAGGGTTACCTACCTGAGCAGGGGGTTGGACTTGATGACCTCCAAGGTCCCTTCCAACTTTATTATTATTATTATTATTATTATTATTATTATTATTATTATTATTATTATTATTATTATTATTATTATTGTTATTATTCAGGCAAGATTTGCTACCTAAAGTGATACCATTTAAGGTAATACTAATTAAATGATCAATTTTTATTGTGAGATTTGCAGCTAACATTTGGCATTTACATGACACTGCTACAAAGACTCTATGGTTTTAGCCTCATTTCATAATTATTTCATATATACTCAAGGCCCACAGGTCATTTTTTCATTTCCTGCTGCTCTACCAATTCTGCTGCAATATACAATCCCAAAGGTGCTTTTTCACGAGGCAGCTGGACCTCCTCCTCCTTCTTTTGAAAGCAAGCAAGAAAGCAAGAAAGTCCAGTTGCCTCTTGAAAAAGCACCTTTGGGACAACCATGACCTGGATGACTGAGAATCTTCATAGGCATACAATATACAATGTTGCCAGTTTTGCATAGCAGCAGTCAAAATATGTCAGAAGATGACCTGTGTCATTCCTGACAAACCTAGCAGACAACTTTGTCTCCCAAAAAGTAGAGAAGGGAACTAGGGGATTAGCCATTTTGGACCTAATTCTCACTAACAGAGATAAAATGATAGAAGGTGTTGAAGGCACAGGAACCTTGGATGGAAGTGATCATGCAATATTGGAATTCAACATTATGGAAGCACAAGCAGTAGAACACAGTCAAACTAGAGGCTTGGACTTCAAGAGAGCTAATTTCAATAAACTTAGGGCTTGGGAAGGATTCCATGGATGAGAATCCTCAAGGGGAAAACAACTCAAGAAGCTTGGGAAATTTTGAAAAGTGAGATAATAAAAGCCTAGTCTAGCACAATACCAACAAAGAGGAAAAATTACAGCTCTCAAAAGAAACCAGCATGGCTGCATAAAGAACTCTCTGATAAATTGAAAGATTAAAAGGACAAGTATAGAAAGTGGAAAGAGGGGCACATAACTAAGTCAGAATATCAGCAAATAGCCTGAGCCTGCAAAGATGAAATGAGGAAAGCTAAGGCTCATAATAAACTAAGGGTTGTGACCAAAGTCAAAAATAACAAAAAATGCTTCTTTCAACATGTAAAAAACAAGAAAAAAGTGAAGGAAATAATTGGTCCATTAGTGGGTGAAAGTGGCAAGAAGGTGACAAGCAATAGGGAGAAAGCAGAACTATTTAACTCATATTTTGCATCTGTCTTTACACAAAAGGAAAAAACAGACCAACCTATCAAAAATAGTGCTATAAAAAACAGAATAGAAACACAAATTAAGATAGGCAAGAAAACGGTAAGTGAGCACATATCCAGCCTAGATGAGTTCTAATCACCAGGACCAGATGGATTATATCCCAAGGTTCTCAAGGAACTGGCAGATGTGATCTCAGAACCACTGAACTATATTTTTCAAAGATCCTGGAGCACTAGGGAACTACCAGAGGACTGGAAAAGAGCTGATGTAGTTCCCATCTTCAAAAAAGGAAAAAAAAATGGACCCAAGAAATTACAGACCTATCAGCCTGACCTCAATACCTGGGAAGATTCTGGAAAAGATAATCAAACAACGAATCAGCGAACACCTAGAGGCAAACCAAGTCATTACTAAAAGCCAACA